AAGCTTTTTAACAAGAAAGAAAAGCACCCTTCGGAAAGCTATGTAGATTACCATCAGCGGGGAAGTGATTATCGTTTTCTGGAAATGGGATAGAAACGGGGATCATTCGGTGTGATATATACGGCAAGTGGATACGAGGGGCTCAAGCCAATTGAGTAAACAAATTAAAATGTGAAGACGATGAGAATTCAAAACGTACAACATGTCACCATGGCATTGGCACAGGAGGGATGATGGTATACCACTCTGTTCTTATGTTCTCGTCTTTATTTTTTTTGTATTTGGGTCATAAACTGCGAATTAGGATAGGTATCTACTGAACATGATCTGCTAAGCCTTTAAAGTATCAGGTTTGGTTTACGATTTTCTGAGCTATTACGGCTTATGATGATTTTAGTTTCTCGAGCTATCGCTTTAAGTTGAACGAGAAGGCACTAATAGTAATAGATAGACAAGTAATGCTTGGTTCATACAGATTTTACTGAAGTTTGAAGATTTTTCCTATTTGGTTTCAAGCTACAAACAAAAATAGTTCAGCACTATGTGATTGTTCACGGACAGGAGCCTTTCTTTTGTTGTGTTAAAGAATGGAACTAAAATGCGACCAATAGTTTAACCATTCTTCCATGGCGGAGGCAGTGGAACCATTGATTTTTTGTATGTTATCCTTTGTACATAATTTTGTATACAGTACCGGACATAAGTATATGTATAACATTGCGATTTGTTTTCTCTGTGAAAAAGTTCAAAGAGCTGTTCCTTTGTCGGATGTCCATGATATTTTCTGAAATATTGGCTTGTATTTGGTTATGTATTCGGTACAGTTTTGAGCGTAATTAGTTGAACATGTAAAAAGCATTTGAAGTAAAACGCTTTTTTTGAAGTAACCAATTATACAAATTTTAATTTCCTGAAGTAAAATGATCCAAATATTCTGAATTTTTTCTCATCGGTAGTCAAGACATGGTTTATTCATATGCTTCACTTAAATCCGTACAACATAAAACAAGTTGCAAAAATTTGATTTTTTCACCGTCTGAAGAAAAATGGCAGATTTATATGTTTTTATGCGAGCTGGGTGCACTGAGCACTGCGTATTTTTTGTTCTTATCAAATTTAAAAATAAATAAAAATTTCACATTTTCAGAACATATTGCAAAGTCTGAAAGTCTTGCATATTGCAAGACTAAAAGTGTCGATTTTACCCCGAATGAACTAAACATCTTTTAACACAGTTTTTGAGAGTTAATAAACTGAAATATCACACCTTCGTACGGAATACACCAACGAGGCACACATCAATTATCGAATGTTATAAAGTGTTAAGTTGAAACCCGAGAGCGATAGCTTACAGTAACTGTTGGGGCAATGCTGACCAAATTTGATTTGTTTTTTATTTTGACAGATAAAGGATAACGACAGCTCACACGGCAATCACAAGTGTGCATAGAGGTTACTAAAAACGTTGTTAAAAACAACTAATAATCTGAAAACTCAAAGGGTGTCGGTATTACCTACAGAAGCGGTTTTACCCGGATTTCCCCTATCTGTTTTTTGTTTATCATCCGTTAGACTAACATTACGGCCAACTTTACCTAACTAAACTAATAGCGCGAAAATAGCTATTTATGAGACAAGTTGCAAAAGAAGATTTTTCAACATGAGTCGTAGTTTAAAGTAAATAGTTATTTAGCACATAAAAGAGTGTCGAAAAGTAGAACTTTTCGACACTGGATGCTGAAAACTTTCACTTTTCGACACTGTTATTTTAGTTATGAAAAGTAGGCCATTATGTTATTCAAAATTGTGTCGAAAAATTGAAAAAGTTAGTTTTTTGCAGTCAAAAGCGTGCGCAAAATACTTTTTCGCACTCAAAGGCGTGCGCAAAAGACTTTTTCGCACGTTGCTAAGCATAACCTTACCGACCGAGAGGTTGGAAAATTATGACAGTCATATGTCATAACCTACTTGATCAGAAAGTTTTGATCATACGCGTGGCGTCCTCTGCGTTCTTTATCCGCTCCTTCCCGGTACAGTATATCCCGAATTTGTAGTAGTAATGCGCGTTAATTCGATGTTTGAAAACAGGCGGCTGCTGTTTCTCAGTAGTACTGCTTCCTCTCCATTGTTCTTGTCAGCAACCAGGGACGTCACATCCATCTCCACAATCTCTGCTTTCAGCACTTCAACCGCTTCTTCTGTGCCTTTATCGTTGTCCTTTGACGACGCACCTCCATTCCTCCACTGGTTATTGTTATACTGGCTTCTCCCGTTCCTTCCGCTTGGGGGCAGGAGTTCATCCGATACCCGTCCATCTTACAAAGGAAACACAAGTTTTGTTCTCCATTGTTACGTTCATGTAAATTCCCCGTACACCTGTCAGCATATCAAGGCCTAACGGAGCTGGTAAATTCTTCCGAACTACACGCTTTACATCATGAAAGATTCTGGGATTAGTATGCAGATTTGAACGAACATTTTAAAACGACGAGAGCTTCAACTATGTTGGCTTATCATTGACTCACCATACTTACCATAATTTATTAAGAAATACAGATTCATTGCCACTTGGTATAATAACAAATACGACTTTTAATTTATGTTTTGAGAAACACGGCAAAGCATTTAAATTTCTCCATGAAAAGCTATCAAGATTTCTGTTGATATCTTTTTGACGTAGAACTACGTCTTTATCGACTATACTGGGGTACAATTCAAAAAATATGTGTGGTGAAATAGTATTAGGTTTTGAACGCTTGTAACTTTGTCATTTATAGCTGAAATTAAAATCCAAATACGACAATCGATAGGATATTACTTAACAAATCTGCTGAAATAAATACTTTCCCATCCTCGTCGCCAATTGTCACGGCTTCGAACTGACAGGGAGAATGCCAAGACTTTAACCGACCGGAGACCACTTTCGGATATTATAGGGATAGACCGTACGTTCGTGAGTTCAAGCTAAGACTGACTGTATTGTATTCTCAGATCATTACATTACCCTGACATTGAGTTCACTTGAAGTGTTCATTTCTCTCTCGGCTACTACACCAAATCCCTTACCTCACAGTTTTAATTAAAAAACTTTTGAAAAATGCGCAAATGATAATTTTATCACTGTTTTCATGAACTAAACGTTTTCCCCAAACCCAGTCATCATAAACTAATACCACTGGTTGCACATCATTCTGCTTGAACCTGAAAAGATATAAAACAGCGCTGCTTTCCTTCATTACCGCTTCTGACAGCGTGGCACCACAATGAGGAATGAGACTGGGAAAATTATGTATGTTAAACCCCCTCCCCCCTTAACAACAACCCGAAAAAGACATGGACTTTGACGATCACTTTTTTCCGGGAAATAAATTTTAAGCAAACCACAATTAGGGGCTGTTCATTAACTACGTAGAGTTTTTTTTTAATTTTTTTTATTCTTGACCCCCCATTTTTAATTTGCATGGGTTGTGGATAATTGCCAATCCCCCCTTAAACTCTGTATACGTAGTTTGTGAACAGCCCCTTATTGAGCTTGAGCTTGAGCTTGATTGACCGCCCACGGTTGCTACTCTCTTATTGCCAGATCAGCTGTAATTACACAGAGAACCAATAGACGATGCTTGGGACTAGCAATCATCCTCAATGTGTAAAAACTGGTGATCTTAAATTAGGTAATACCAGCGCCGGCCGCGCCCGAACACAGGTCAAGAAAGGAATGGGAAGGATTGTGTTGACATGACACTCGCTTTGATGGAAGCCGAGAACACCTCTGCACTTCCACGAGGAATCACTGGGATGTTGGATAAGAGGGTTGGGTTTGCAGCAGGGTTCGTTTTGGTAAACTGAATTGATGTCCTAACGATCATATAACGCGAAGGAGTAAGCAAAAACGTTTGCCACTAGGCAGACGAGCACCTTTTTAATCACCGAGTTGCTGTTATTACCATGTAGTCATATTAACAAATAAAACGATTGACGAATCTTGAATGTGGATGGGCCTGAGATTAGACTCATGATGTTCTGCTCAGTAAGCAAAAACGGTTGCTCTAAGGCCACCGAGCCCCTCATATCACATAATACCGTTGCTCAAATTTTGGTATCCATTCAAACCCGGAACCAACGACAACAACGAGTTTCGCAAAATACACGATACACATGCGATTTTACCATAAATCTCTTTGATATGTAAGGACCTGGGACCGCGTTTTTCTGCTCAGTAAGCAGGCCACTGTAACCGACGATCTTTCAAATCCGAAAACTAAAAACTACGAAAAAGTACTTAGGCCTTCTGTTACCGTTGGTAAAAACGAGCACCCGGTTGCGAAAGGGTTGCGGTCGGTGAAAGTGAACACCCAGTTGCGAATGGGCGAATACCGTGAACGCCCCGTCCACTGACAGTTCTCGACGGCTGATGAAGATGACCAAAATGAATGGCACACATACATGCGCATGCAGCTGATCGCGCAGTGGGATCAGCCATCGCAATTTGTTATTGTTGACACTGAAGATCGAAACGAGATGGTGAAATTCTCATCTTTTAATTTAGTGAAGTGAATTTGTCTGTCCACTTGTAGTTAATTAGCAAAATAAGTGTGAAGTCAATTTTGTATGTGCAATAGTTTATTGTAAATATTGTGAAAGTTATATTTGGTGTTTTTGTAGATTTCGTCAGCTGATTGTTGGTCGATATTAGGTTTGCTCGTTCATGATATTTTGTGCTACTTACCGTGAGTTTGTTTGTATTTCGATAGTCAGTAAATGTAATAAATTAATGTTTTCAACATAGGTCCTCAAAACCGAGTATAGGAGTGTTGGCAGTGAGACTGGTAGTAGTTATATTGAGGAAAACTTAATGTAAGTTGTTTGTTATTAATGATAAGTGCATCTGTGATTAATGTTTGTTGTATTAAAATTTTAGTTTGAGTATCGCCGAGAGCATACTTTGTAAAATAGTTTTCTATGCTCGATCCGAAGGACTGCGAGCAACATTCTCAAAATTAATGGCTGCAACCTACAAGTACCCGTGTTGTGACTGCAATGAATCGTACGATGCCAGCGTCCAGTGCGAAAGATGTGAAGAATGGTACCATTTCGAGTGCGTTGGTGTCGACGAATCCGTTGCAGAGGTCATATGGTTCTGCTCGACCTGTATCGGTGAGGATAGATCGATTCGTGAGTCGCTGGGGGCACCAGGACGGACCAGGATTCATCCGGTGGTGATCGATCATCCATCTGCTAATGCTGAAGGTAGCGGTACAGAGGTCGGTAAGGTAGCAAATAAGAACATATCATCGACTAAACGTCGCATAAGTAGGGCCCAAGCACAAGATGATGATAGCAATAAATCAGATCAGGAGCAGGAAAGTTCTGATGAAGACGAAAATCAAGACGTGGCAAAGGAAAAAGTAGAAGACCACGCAAAGTTCTTGAATGAGCTTTTAAAATCGTTTGATCGTTGTCATAGTCAACCCGTGCGCGTACAATCGAGTAAATCGAGTGGTATCGGTAAAAGGGGACTCCGGAAAAGTGCCAGTGTACCGTCGGCAAAGTCTGCCTCGACACGTTCTCGTGCGTTGAAGGAACTTCGCGAACTGGAGGAGAAAAACAAGTTGGACGAACTCGAGGAGGAAAACCAACGGAAATTTCTGGAACTTCAACGAAAGCAGATTACCAGACGAAAAGAAGCGCTCAAAAGGAGGATCGAATTGAGGATGATCATCAACGAGGATGCTGAAGATGATTCGGATTCAGTGAACGAAGAAGTGGAAGAATCGACGAACAGAAGCAGGAAAAAGCAGCCGGAGGAGCAGATCCCGAAGAGTTTGGGTGCAATTCCGATGGTTCCACGAAAAAGGTCTACCGAAGATGATATGCAGGACCTATATGATCGCTTCAAGAAACTTTTGGAAGAAAAGAATCCTCGAAAGTCAGCACCAAAGCTGCCCACCACGAAGAAGAGCACCAAGCGTGCATCGAATCCGGTACTGCCACGCCCTTCTTTTGAAAAGGATGATGACGCACTGAGATCAATCCTTGGTGGCGGGGACTCCGATGATGAAGTCATTGTGGAAGGACCAACACGGCTCCAAATAGCATCCCGTCAGGTCTTTCCACGGAGTCTACCCAAGTTCTACGGAGCAGCCGAAGAGTGGCCGATATTCATCAGCGCTTATGAGCAAGCAAACTTGTCGTGTGGATTCACCAACGCCGAGAATTTGGTTCGCTTACAAGACGCGTTGAAGGGTAGAGCGTTGGAAACGGTTCGGAACCGATTGCTGCTACCAGAAAACGTGCCGCTTATCATTGAAAAGCTGCGGAAGAGATTCGGGAACCCGGAAATTCTATCAACCAGGTTAGCAACCAAAGTTCAACAGCTAGAAGGACCCAGCTCGGAGAGTTTGGAGTCGGTGATCGAGTTCGGAAGTGCGGTTGAAGAATTCACCCAGCATCTCAAGGCAGCAGGACTGGTTGACCACTTGAAGAACCCAATTCTAATGCAGAGTTTAGTCCAAAAACTGCCATCGTATTATGCTATGGAGTGGGTGGACTACAAACGTCGCGCTAGAACGGTCGATTTGGAGACGTTTGGTGGTTTCATGGAGGGTCTGGTGGAAAAGGCATTGGAAGCGACCTTCGAAAAAGCAGAGTTGGACGGAAAGGTCAAAAGAAAGGCTTTCGTTCATGCTACAGACGGAAGAAATCAAGACAGCCAGCAAAGCCGGATGGAGTCGAAGATGGAGCAGAGATCGTCGAATCAGTTGCAGCAGAAGTCGCAAAGCCAGCCACAGCAACGAGAACTGAAGTGTTCGGTCTGCCAGAAGCCTGGACATTATGGAAGATATTGCCAGGAGTTCCTGAAACAGAGCTTGGACGAGCGGTGGAAAACAGTGAAGCGGTTGAACCTGTGTCCGCTTTGTCTGTACGACCACGGGCAACGATCGTGTCGCATCCGGATAGCCTGTAAAGTGGACGGTTGTCAGGAGTACCACAATGCTCTGCTACATAGTGGCCCGAGTGAAGGAACCTCGCGAGCTCGAGTGCAATGCAACAGTCATCGTCAGCAGGAACGTGCAGTACTATTCAGGATGGCTCCAGTGACGCTCTACAACGGCAAGAAGAAGATTGATACGCTTGCTCTAATCGACGAAGGATCGTCAATAACTATCGTGGATAGCGAATTGGTGGAATCGTTGGGAGCTGATGGGCCGGTGGAATCGTTGCAGATGTGCTGGACAAATGGTGTTCAGCGGACAGAGAATCGGTCGAAGAAAGTTACGCTCGAGATCTCCGCCAAAAATTCGCCGTATCGCTACGATTTGATGGAAGCCCGCACGGTGCACAAACTGGATCTCCCTACACAACAGATGGATTCCCGGAAATTGAAGGAGCAGTTCGAACATCTCAAGGACATACAGATTCCCAGTTACGAAGTAGCTACACCGAAGGTGTTGATTGGAATCGACAACGCCCACCTGATCGCGCCATTGGACTCCCGAGTTGGAGATTCTGGTGAGCCTGTTGCAGTTCGTTGCAATCTCGGCTGGACGTTGTATGGCCCGCGTCCAAATGTCGTCAGCAGTGTAAACTTCTTGGGACATCATCGTTGTGTGTGTGAAGAATGTAGCATTGCAGATAAGAAGCTGGATGAAGCGTTGAAGCAGAATTATCAACTGGAGGAGGTCGGAACTTCGGTGATTCGATTGGAGTCAAGGGAAGATCGCAGAGCGCGTGAGATCCTAGAAAAGACGACCAAGAGAATTGGTGAGAGGTTTGAAACCGGACTGCTCTGGAAGGAAGATGACGTGCGATTCCCTGAAAGCTTTGACATGGCCTTGAAGCGGTTGCGAAGTTTGGAAGCTCGGATGAAACGAAATCCTGGGGTGCGAGAAAACTTGCAGAAGCAGTTGGAGGAATATCTCGCCAAAGGCTACGCGCATCGCATCACCGAGCGGGAGTTGAAAGAGACGCCGAAGGGAATGGAATGGTACCTACCCTTGAATTACGTGGTGAATCCGAAGAAACCGGGCAAGGTGCGATTGATTTGGGATGCGGCAGCGAAAGCACATGGCGTGTCGTTTAACGATAAACTGTTGACGGGACCGGACATGATAACGTCGTTGCCAGTTGTGATAAGTGGTTTCCGTGAGAGACGTGTGGCGTTTGGAGGTGACATCAGAGAGATGTTTCACCAAGCAAAGGTTCGTCTGGAGGATCGTCAAGCACAACGATTTCTGTTCCTGGGTCCGAACGGAGAGGTGGAGATTTTTGTGATGGATGTCGTGATCTTCGGTTCTAGTTGCTCGCCATGCTCTGCCCAGTTTGTGAAGAACCTGAACGCACGCGAACATTCCGAGCAGTACCCTGAAGCTGCAGATGCTATTGTCCGGAAGCATTACGTCGATGATTATTTCGACAGCACCGATACTGAAGCGGAAGCAGTCAAACTAGCGATGGATGTCAGAAAGGTGCACGCAAATGGAGGTTTCGAGATACGGAACTGGGTCAGTAACTCGGAGGTGGTCCTGCAGGAGCTTGGAGAGCCAAAGTGCGCGGCGAAGCCTCTAGAAGTGGACAAGTCCTGCGAATTCGAACGAGTCTTGGGGATGTTATGGGACCCGGAGGGAGATAACTTCATCTTCTCGACGGAGATTCGGCAAGACCTTCAGCCATACATTCGGGAAGGTGCTTGGCCAACGAAGAGGATTGCGTTACGGTGTATAATGAGTATGTTTGATCCGAAGCAGTTCTTGGCTCCTCTGCTCATACATGGCCGCATCATCATGCAGGATTTGTGGCGCAGTGGAATCAAGTGGGACGAAAGGCTGACCGAGAAACATTATGAACGGTGGGTGAAATGGACACAGTTATTCCATCTGATCGACGAGATCCGAGTTCCTAGGTGCTATCTGGGCAGACTAGATTCGAAGGCGTACGATACGGTACAGTTGCATGTGTTCACCGATGCTGGCGATGCGGCTTACGGGTGCGTTGCTTATTTCCGATTTGAGGACGGCGGAGTCGTTCACTGCGCATTCATCGAGGCAAAAGCGAAGGTGGCACCATTGCAGTACCTGTCTACGCCACGAATGGAGCTAGAAGCTGCTGTTCTAGGCGCGCGGCTGATGAAGTCAATCTGCGATAGTCATTCTGTTCCTGTTTTGAAGTGGTTCCTGTGGTGCGATTCGTATACTGTTGTGTCGTGGGTGAAGTCTGACCAACGAAGGTACAAACCTTTCGTTGCCCACCGAATCGGAGAGATTCTCAGCATCACAAACCCTGAAGATTGGCGCTGGGTAGGTACGAAGGACAATCCAGCAGACGACCTAACGAAATGGGGAAAAGGAACGGAAATCAAGTCGGAGAGTCGTTGGTATCGAGGTCCGGAGTTCCTGTATAAAGACGTGTCAGAGTGGCCGAAGCAGAAACGTCCGGTGGTGGAGGTTCAAGAAGAACTACGCGCAAGCCTGCTGCTGCATCATATTCTTTTGCCTGAGGGGTTGATGGAGAGGATGCAGCATATTTCTCGGTGGATGGTGATGGTGCGAACGGTAGCAGTAGTGTTCCGTTTTGTGTCCAACTGTCGTCGTCGGATCAAAAAGATGCCGATCGAAGCGTTGCCGATTGATGCTAAGCAAGCTGGACGTAGAGCGTTTGCAGCAGTTGAGGTACCGTTGCGGCAGGAAGAATATATGTCTGCCGAATCGTTGCTGTGGAGGATAGTGCAAGCAGAGGAGTTCGCGGACGAGGTGAAGACACTCATGAAGAATCGGGATTCATCTGTAGCTCAAGATTTACCACTGGAAAAGTCGAGTCCGATTTATCGCTTATCACCATTTCTGGATGAAGAAGGAATTGTGCGGATGGAAGGTCGGACCGAGGCGGCTGACTACGTGGCGTTTGATGCGAGGTTCCCGATCATTCTGCCGAAAGATCACGTGGTGACCAAGAGACTGGTGCAACATTATCATCGACAATATAGCCACGGTAGCAGGGAAACGGTAGTGAATGAAATTCGGCAGCGATACTACATCCCTTGTCTACGCGTGTTGGTGGAGCAAGTGATGCGGGAGTGCATGTGGTGCAAGATCCGGAAGGCAAAACCAACTATGCCCAGGATGGCACCACTACCCGAACAGCGATTGGCTGCGAAGATCGATCCGTTTTCAAACGTGGGCATCGATTATTTCGGACCGCTAGAAGTGACCGTCGGAAGAAGGAAGGAGAAAAGATGGGTGGCACTGTTCACGTGCTTAACTGTCAGAGCAGTGCACTTGGAGGTAGCGTACAGCCTGACGACGGAGTCGTGCAAAATGGCGATTAGGAGGTTTGTGAAGCGACGTGGCAGTCCGATTGAGATCTTCTCGGACAACGGTACGAATTTCGTCGGTGCCAATCGAGATCTGGTGAAGGAGATCAACGTTGCCTGTGCGGACACGTTCACTGGTGCAAGGACCCGTTGGACGTTTAACCCACCTTCAGCGCCACATATGGGGGGCGCTTGGGAGAGAATGGTACGCTCGGTGAAAGAGGCACTGCATGTCTTCACGGATGGTCGGAAGCTGACGGATGAGATCCTGCAGACTGCACTGATCGAGGCTGAGAACCTGGTCAACTCACGTCCACTTACGTACGTGTCAACCAACGTGAAGGAAGACAAAGAAGCGCTAACACCAAATCACTTCCTGCGTGGTCGATCGTCGGCCGAATGTCTACCGTCGAGGATTCCGGTGGATTTGGCTGATACGTTGCGGAGCAGCTATAGTCGAGCGCAGCAGTTAGCGGATGGATTTTGGGATCGTTGGCAGCGGGAGTATCTGCCGACCCTGAACAGACGGTCGAAGTGGTACTTGGACCATCGAAAAGTGGCGATAGGAGATCTGGTGTTTGTGGCTGATGGCGAAAAGCGGAATACCTGGGAGCGAGGCCTGGTGACGCAAGTGTTCGTTGGCAGTGATGGGAGAATTCGCTCAGCGTCCGTGCAGACCAGCCGGGGTGAGAAGCTGCGACCAGTATCGAAGTTAGCCGTTTTGGAGATTGAGGTGGAAAATAGTAATCCCCGTACTGTTCCCGAGTGAATCAGCGACAGGGTTTACGGGTGGGGGAATGTTACCGTTGGTAAAAACGAGCACCCGGTTGCGAAAGGGTTGCGGTCGGTGAAAGTGAACACCCAGTTGCGAATGGGCGAATACCGTGAACGCCCCGTCCACTGACAGTTCTCGACGGCTGATGAAGATGACCAAAATGAATGGCACACATACATGCGCATGCAGCTGATCGCGCAGTGGGATCAGCCATCGCAATTTGTTATTGTTGACACTGAAGATCGAAACGAGATGGTGAAATTCTCATCTTTTAATTTAGTGAAGTGAATTTGTCTGTCCACTTGTAGTTAATTAGCAAAATAAGTGTGAAGTCAATTTTGTATGTGCAATAGTTTATTGTAAATATTGTGAAAGTTATATTTGGTGTTTTTGTAGATTTCGTCAGCTGATTGTTGGTCGATATTAGGTTTGCTCGTTCATGATATTTTGTGCTACTTACCGTGAGTTTGTTTGTATTTCGATAGTCAGTAAATGTAATAAATTAATGTTTTCAACATAGGTCCTCAAAACCGAGTATAGGAGTGTTGGCAGTGAGACTGGTAGTAGTTATATTGAGGAAAACTTAATGTAAGTTGTTTGTTATTAATGATAAGTGCATCTGTGATTAGTGTTTGTTGTATTAAAATTTTAGTTTGAGTATCACCGAGAGCATACTTTGTAAAATAGTTTTCTATGCTCGATCCGAAGGACTGCGAGCAACAGCCTTCATTAAGTTCCACTTTCACGCGACGTTCAATGTTTCAATTTGCTCTTTACGTATTTTTCAGGCTATAAATAGGCTCTTTTGAAAAGTTACGCGAGAAATACGCACAATCGTCGCCTACCTCGCAAAACTGGTTCCAAACGACATAGGCATAAGCAACGATGGATTGTTGAACTTTGCTGGCTGGTGTAGTGCTGCTGAAAAAAGATAAGTCTATTATTTTGGTTAGTGATCGTTTGGATTTGGGTCACCCCTCGTTGTGTTTAGGTTAGTATAAATAAATAATACTATTTAGTCATGATTTACACCACAGCTCATTATCTTCAGCGTTATCGGTTTTCGTTTCTGGATCTTTAGTTGCCTCTGTGATATACTTACTTGCGGCATACTATATTGGGAGTGTATATGAGCGTGTACCATGTACGGTAGCTCATCTCTCATCGTGATGGTGGGACATAGTAGACAAATTAGAGAGAAAACAAGGAGGTATTAGTATTGGTTATATGTAAACAAACAAAACAAAAGAAGAGAAGAGGAAAGAAGAGCAGACAAATAAAAAAGGGATGAAGTAGATAACAAATAAAAGAAACGTAGGCAGATTATTAGAAAAGGCATTATCCGAGACTCGGCAATCAAATGTCACTCCCGCCGAGATCTCAGCAAAACCCCCTCCCCGCCGAGACCCGCACAGCCGAGCTCGGTAGAAAAAAATAAGTGTGTAGATAGATTAGTAGGAAAATAAATAAAACTACTTTATGACTTAAAGTGCAATGAATGAGCGTTAGTTTCGGGATCATTTCAGTGTTAGAATTATGTTAGTTTTGATCCGTAATCAGCCCTGCTGACCCCTCCAACATTAGTTGCAGGTAGTGGTTGTTAGATAATGCGGCACTGTAACTACTACTATTTTAGAGGTATGATTCGTCAAGTTTATACAACTCAATGTTTCAATTGAGCCAAACTATCTATCTTACAATTACAAAAGCAAACCTAAACTTACAATTATATACAAATGCAAAATGAAACTTGACAAATCATCGTCAATCCCCTTATTACAGGGCAGGGCCTGACGATTTGAATCTAATTTAATTTTGATCAGTAAACGGGCACCATATGGTACATTTTCTCACCATGAACCTATCATTTCCAGCCTATCTGAACTATTTAATAAATGGAAGCCATAACATGGGTTACGCTCCCCCTAAGCGGGCCCTCCGCATCCTGTCTCTGTCTTATCTCAAATACAAAATGCCAATGGTATGAATGTATTTGGTCAGGCTTCAGAATCGTCCAGTGGGCAGTGCGCTCTACGCTCCAAGTTACCTTTTATTCAAATTTACCGCAAATTTGATATTTTACCCATTGAGTGTTGATTAGTCACAATGAAACATTGTGACAGAAGTTGAGGTTACTAGTGTATTAAATAATCTAGGTCCTATTTAGGATTATATGTGAAAAATCCAAATCTTGCCAACGCCCACCCTAAACCTAAACCTGTTCACCTGAAATGACTAACGTATGGAAGACTTTGACTACCCAGCCATGCAATAGTCTCATTCCGTGCCTTATGGCAACTTGATGATTCTATTGCGCTCATCTTCTTGCACCACCCAGGGGAGACTTGGTCCTGTACCCAATGCTTAACTTATCTCCTTTCCACTCAGCTACTCGCAATTTCTTGTGATATAGTGGGCGGAATATTATTATATGAGACAATTCAATGCAGACGTCTTTCCTAATTTGGCAGATCGACAGGTAATCGGGGAGTTACCACGATAGTTGCTATTCAACAACTCGACAACGTCCCATCGTCAACGCCTGCTATGAGAATTTCCCATTGCAGACGCCAACGAAATGACGTCATCGAGCTATCGATCAACTACACTGGTTATCGCCTGGTACCTTATAGCACGATGCTAGGAGGCGAACCGGAAGAATCGATGAGCTACCGCCCCCCGTAGTTTGTGAACAGCCCCTTATAAGTAAAAACATTTTTTACATGCAGAGCCAAAATTAAAAAAAAAAAAATGTTTTAAGAGGAGACATACATTTGATGAATTTCCAACAACTGACTGTAAAAGTAGTAGTAAAATTATGTTTATTTCTGTCAAGGTTGCAAATACTCATTTCAGCTAAAATAATGTTTTTCGGAATAATAAAACCACAAGATGGTATGATGGCATGTTCTACTTGTAACTTATAAGAAGATGTTACAAAGTATGCGTTTGAAACATAAAACCTGTAAATTTTGCTTTCTATGAGTCACAATCAGCGATTTGCTGATCAATGAGTGAGTGAGTGAGTGTGTGAAAAATCGCTGATTGTGACTGTCATGAAGTGAAATAAACAGGCTTAATATGTCAAAACATTCCTTGCAACCTCTTCTTGTATCCTACCAATTCAAAATATGATTATGGCATCTAATTATTTCATAATTAAAAAAGACATTGTTTTAGCTGAAATGAGTATTTGCATCCTTGATTTCTGTTGATTATGATAGTACATTGATTTAACATTTTAATTGATTAGCCAACCTGGCTCTTCATCTTTTTATAATTTGATATTCTAATTTAATATTTGTGTTTTTCAGCTAGTTTACAGAATACCCTTTTGGGGGTGTGTTTTGTTTGAATTGAAAAAAGTGAAAACCTATCTAACTACGAGCATAAATTCGTGCTAGATCATGAATGATCTGACAGGTGTCTCTGAACCTTTCCAGGATGAATATTCTCCGTTCTTCTAATGTCTGAATTCCAGCCAGGAGGTGGATCTCAGAATTTCTAGTCCACGGGGGACTGTTTAGGACCATCCTAAGGATCTTGTTCTGGATCCTTTGGAGTTTAAGGTGATGGCATTTGGTGAAACTCTCCCAGATTGGCATCCCGTATTCTATTACGGGAAGGATGATTTGTTTGTAGACAGCAAGCTTATTTTTCAGTGATAGAGTAGACCTCCTGTTGATGAGTGAATACAGTGATCTTATCAAGATGTTACGCTTGTGTGCGGTATCAAATACCCTCCACATAGAGATACGAGCTTAGCTGACGAGACGGGTGACAACGACAACACGCAGCAATCGTCTCTCGACCTCTTTGCCCTCGGACCACGACCGCGTACGGACGCAAAGGTAAGCTCTCAGGAGAACTCCCAGAACGGACACCAAACCATATCCCCAGGACAATCAGGCTTTTCTCCGGATAGGTGGAACCCCACAACTTGGTTTTGGTTTTGTCAACGTGCTACCTGAAAATCAGCTTGCTGTCTAGTGTTACGCCGAGGTAGACTACTTCTTTCGACCATTCCCATCCGGCAGATCTTATTATTCACCGACGGAACAAGTCTGGGAGATTTTGAGTGTGGAAATATGATGACCTGGGTCTTTGCCACGTTGATACGGATCTTCCAGCTGTTGAAATATTCAGACAGGACGTCCAGACCTCTCTGAAGTTTGGCAATCAGAGCTCCGATGACCCTACCCTTGTAGACGATGGATGTGTCATCTGCGAACAGAGACAACGATACACCATCAGGGAGAGCCGACATATCGGAGGTGAACAGGTTAAATAGAATGGGGCCAAGGATGGAAGATTGGAAGACCGTAGTGCTGCAATTTGAACACCAAGCCAACATGCCAGACATCGTCGAACGATTTTGAACGTCCAACAACGCCATGGCAGATGTTTTCGAAACATACTTGTACCGTCTGAGAATGTTTGTTACTCGAGTCAGCTGGTGGACGGTCGAACGACCTTTCCGAAAACCAAACTGTTCCTCGAGTAACAAGTTGTTTTCTTCGGTAGATGTTTGGAGCAGGTGGTAGACTGCTCTTTCGAACAGTTTTGATAATCCTGAGAGAAGGCTGATTGGTCGATAACTTGAAGGAGAGGACGGATCCTTCCCAGGTTTCCAGATGGGTATGACTTTAGCTGACTTCCAGCACGAAGGAAAGTAATCAAGTCGGAGGCACAGATTAAAAATCAGTGCCAGATGGTTGTAGAATCTGGGGCTCAAGTGTTTGAGTTCCAAATTCAGGATGCTGTCGAAACCTGGGGCCTTCATGTTTTTAGATGATTTGATATAGGCCAACAGTTCGTCAGCCGTAATCTCGGATTCCTCGGAAAAAATATTGGGAATCTGATGGAGGTTGATTGTCTTTTCAGCAACCTCAGTTTCGTGAGGGCTGACGATGTTTTGTTCGAGATTATGAGAGCTGACGAAGTCTTGACCCATCGCGGCAGCCTTCTCTTCAGGAGTTATCAGATGAACCACTGGGTCGCCGGGACTATCCAGTGGGGTTAGTGGTGGAATGGGTCTTGGCTTATTTTTAAGAATTTTGGTTAGTTTCCAAAAGGGCTTTGCACAATCTGGGAGAGAGCGGATTCTGTTAGCAAAGTCCTGATTTCTGAGGTCCACCATCCTGGCTTGGTTGGTTTTTGTTAGGCGATTACAGTGGGTCTTAAGGACAGGCAGACCAGAGCGTTGGTACTGCCTTCGGATGGTGTTAGGGAGTCTTATAAGGTCTTTGGTACCCAAGCAACACAGAAAACATCTCAATTCTTTTATTTTTTTATTTAAGTTGCCCAGAAATCCCTTAAATAGTACAGAAAATACATCTTGATACGACAAAGTTTCAACTTTGTTGCTTCATTTACTTTAGGTCACAATAATGAAACTCAACTGTTTCAATGTACTGCTTGGATGACTTGTCAAATCATGCCTCAAATGGGAGGAGCAAACATGTTACACTCAAATTGGTATGAAGTTATATGCTACGTGATATTGTATGAAACACTTGAGCAACAAATCTAACTTGTGTTGTGTTTGTTGAATGAGAGTTCCATAAAACATTAAGTTTCCTTAAAGTTTGGTGAAACAGATTGTGAACTA